CATTCTATGATTTTTCTTTTCTTCAAAATAATTGCTTCATCACACTAGTTTGCGTAGCACTTAGTATGATTATAGAACTTTGAGAATCAAATAGGCAAGGAGTCCCCGAACTGTACGTCCTGGCATGGTCTTACTGCATCGAATCGACATCGGACTAGATAATTGCCCGTAAAGTATATCTTGTCCATGTAAACAATTAACTGTTGACATAATAAACAAACATGAATAAAACAATATTGATTGATATCCCAGTGTTAATTCCTTCACGGGCAGACGATATTGATCAGAAAGCGCGGGAAGCTGAAGATCAGATCCGTGATCTTTACAAGTGAGTCGTTTGCATTCAAAGCTTCTAACAAACAGTCTGAGATTGAGGGATAATTGTTATTTATTTTACTTGTTGAACAAATTGACTACATTAAAAAGCAATTGTACTACAGTCAAGGATTAGATTGCTACCTCCTAGCAAAATATTATTGATGTTACACGTATATTTTTACCTTCCGCATTTCATTTTGTCGATTTTAGAAGAAATTTAATTCGCTTATGCAAATGACACTGATTTAAATGCACCTAAAGAAAATACAAACTAACAAAATTTACTATAACTAGTACTAAAAAGCTTCGAATGTTCACTTGTCATACTCCTTCGACATGTAGATGAAACTTAATTGCATAACTTTGTTTTGCACTTAACTTGCTTCTGAAATGTTTGACAAACACCTTTTTTCCTGTATTCTATATCAGCAGTTTCTAAAGAAATTTAATTTCGAAATTAAATTGTTATCCCGGCCCCGAGACCATAAACTGAGAATAGACTTAAGTCAAAATTATGATTCTCAGTATCTACTCCCGATTTGTATTGTTTCAATGGACTTTTGAGCTGTTTGTTATCTCCATATTTCATCTCGAGTTTTATTTCACATATATGCTTCAAAAATTGCATATTGTATAATATTTAAATACAAACAAATGATAAAAAGTTCCTTTGATTATCAGAATTATTTAAGAAGTTTTAATCATTTAAAATTTTGACTTAAGTCTGTTCTCAGGTCATGGTCTTGAGGCCTGGCCTCTCTCTCTCTCTCTCTCTCTTTTCTTCCTCAGATCCCTTGTGCATTTAGATTGGGAGGCAATTAATCTTTAGGAGTACGATTGATGATGTCCTGTAGATGTGCAATAAGGTCTTTGAGATTTCAATTTTACTCTGGGGGAAGGTAGGCGATGTTTCCTATAAAGATCTGGTTCTCATAACCCCTCTTGTATTTTTACTGTAAGAAAATTGTCTTTTGGAATATGATGGGTAGTGTCCTGCAGATATGCAATATGTTTCGGAATTTTCATTTTCACCTTAGCTTTCGAAAAAAAGTTTTTCCACAAAAAATTTGGTTCCCAGAAATCCTCCTATATTTTATGTAGAAGTCAAAACCATCTTTTGGAAATTGATTAGTTTTGCCCTGTAGGTGTGTAAGAAGGTTTCATGGTTTTCATTTTCTCTCCGAAGAACAAAGCGGTGGTTAAAAAGGACGTTTTTCTGGTTCTTAGAACTTCACTTAAATTTAATGAATTATCTAACCAGTTTTTTTGGAATACGAATGTTGGTGCACTGTAGATGAGCAATAAGGTTTCTGAATTTTCCTATAAAGCTTTTAGGCCTGTTGCGGGTCGAAAAATGACGTTTTTCTGTGAATTCCTGGTTCCCAGAACTCCTCTTACATTTTATGCAGTGGCCAATTCATATTTTAATGTATAATTGTTCGTTTCCTTTAGATATGCAATGAGGTTTCAGAATTTTCATTTTTTCAGGAGAGGCCAAATGCAGGCAAATATACCGACATTTTTCTAAAAAAAAATCATGTTCTTCCAAAAACTCCTCTTTCTTTCTAAATCAATCATAATCAAGTCGGTTGAAATAAGTCAAATATTATTCTTTTTTCGTTATTATATAATAAACGTAATGAATTCAACATTTTTATCTTTAACTTTCATTATTTTTGCAGCAGGACTAGTATACCATTATCACCGGCATATTTTGTTTATGTCTCCCAGTTCATTCGATACGCATTTTCTACATACAAACAATTTTAAAACTGAGACAGGCTTCTGGCAAATACTTTGTTAAAACAAGTTTATCAACAACATTGTTTAAAGTCAAAATTTGGCAAATTCTATAGTTGACACAATGACCTTGACATCCTGTCTTATGGTTGAATGTCTACGGGTTACTGCCTTTTTCCGAACAAGACAAAGAGTTCTTGGTGGTTATGACTGGTGTACAGGGGATGCTTACTCCTTGATGGCATCTGATCCTACCTCTGATGTTTTTAGGGGTCCATATTTGCCCTGCTATCAATATATCAAAATATTTGCACACAGGCCCCTTGTTTTTACATTAAAATACAGATATTTTGATATGATAAGCGAATAAAATTTAAAAGGAAAGTCATTTTTTATTATTTCTTTGTTCTTTAAATTTTTATTGCTAAGCTGCCGGAACTATTTTCCTTCTGACTGAGTCCCTTGATTTACAACGCATTAGTTAACCTTATCAAGCGTTTTATTAACACGCACATAATAACGAATGACCATTTACTGCTTCCGAGAGGTGCTACCTTCGCAGTGCCAAAGATAAACTCAATACGAGATGCAGGGTTGATCACAGTTTTATAGATATTGGAAAGTAAAATTGATGGTCTCGATGGTTTTGTAAAGAGGATGAAATTCATTTTAATTACATTTTGTGTTTCATGAAAAAAAAACTTTGCCTTTATCTAACATGCATTGAAAGATTATTTTCACTTATTTTTTATTGCACAAGAAACTGCAATCAAATGAGCGTTTTTTTCAACCATATGCATCCATCGATTACCTATTTTGGTTTCAATGCAATTAAAATTCAGATTCAAGTAAGCACTTAGTTATGAAAACACGAACGACATTCCGCTTTGGCGAATTCATATGTGGCTTTGGACTGCTATTGAAAACTCCAGGTTGTCGAACTGTCGATTTCCCCGTGATTTGTTGTGGTCCAAGTCCCAATATTATCAATATGCAATCATCACCCCATTTGTAAATATTGTTATTTATTACATCAATTAAATCCGCAGTTAGTAATTTATGTTCAGTAATTATCTCCCTTTATCTCTATCGGTGGTTAGGCTTTGTTCGTATTATCTTTGGTCTGACCCGTTTTCAATAGGTCCTGTTTCAGAATGTTGATAGACTAATTGTCCGGCGCGGAGGGACTTTATCCTGCATCCTTGTAGTTAGTACGTTTAGACCTCACCAATTCTTTCGCTAATGTATTAAGTGCTCACGTGATTGAGATCGATGATTTAAATATGTGCCGTGAGAAAAAAGTTAAATATTAAATCTTCTGCATCCAATATTCTTACTAGTGTTGTAGTACAATTTATTGACACGGAGATTGAAGTTTCTGAACGGTAAGTTTGCATTTTTATAAGCGATATTATGAAAAGAGTACAAAACTTCATACTAGACTATTTTCATTTTTTAAGTGGCCCATATCAAAGAAATTAAGACATACTTCGAAAAACAAAGAGTATAAACTTAAACTTGAAATGAAAAATTCTAAAGTTTTACTTAATCTTTTTAAAATCAAAATCATAGGTTTATGAAAAAGAAATACACACAGTGCCGTTTGTTGTCTATTGACATATGTATATATACAGCTACGCATACAGGGATATAAGAACAAATATTTTCTCAAGAAAATAGGTAAATAATGCATTAGGTTAGTTTAAGGTCCTATCTAGGATTACTTTTACTATCCTCATTTTAGTGTCGTAGACGAAGTTTTATTTCGGAATGCTCATCTTACAAACAACGAGTTTCAGTTTCCGTGCTATAAAATGCATACAAGGCGATTTATTGTACATTAAAAAGACATTGGGACTACCTATAAACATAATTAAATAACGAAATCTGATCTAAACCTAATACGTTAATCCATATGGTTTGTATATTCCGTGGCTATTGGATTTGGCGGTGTAATTTGAAATATTTGACACATTCGTGTGAAGACACTGTAGTGAAATAGAATATGACACGGCAAATTATGTTGTCTTTTCGCATTTTGATGCAACAACTGATACACGTACTTTTAAATGAACAAAGTATTTTGACTGGGTCAAGGTCAATCCAAAATCATTGTTTAACTTTCTCTGTAGTTTCAGTAATATATAAACCTCGTGTTTTACAGATAGAAAAAAATCAGACGTGAAGAAATTTCAGTTTTTACTTTTTGAAAAATATAATTGGGGTCTAATACCTTGATTTCACAATCGAATTCTTTTCAATTGATGAGAAGAATTGGGGAATGAAAACATTCTGTAATGCATTTCGATAAACCTCAAGTAAGGGAAGAAAGATTTGATTTTAATTGCGCGGTTTAAGTAGTATAATCTCTTAAACAAACCTTATATAGTCCAAGTGAGGTCCTGTTGAAGACCGGAATGCACTAACGTAAAGTGAATTAAGAGTGACCATATATATATATATATATATATATATATATATATATATATATATCCACAAAAGGTAAAGGATATGGTATTCAAAGGGAAAGGTGATGTTGACTTTTAATAAAAGCACATTGAGTGTTGATTAGATTTTTTTGTGCATGGATTACCATAAGATGATACATGTTCAGCTGTCCAAACCTATGTAGACCTAATGTAGATTCAGGTATGTATTAACTGTTCTCTGACAGACGCTGGGCGATAGTTGATGGTTTCTGTCGGTCATGTTAAACTACAGACAAAATTGTAAGGTGTCTGTTGTGACCCTATACAAAGGTGATACAGAAGGCGAGTAAACAAACTGGATAAATCCACTCTCCGAGTAAACTAGGAGTAACAGAATCACACAGAGAAAAGTAGTACATTCCATTTTATAATAGGGCTGTTGAGACAAGATTTAAAACTCTTGAATACCTAAATAGAAAACTTTAAAAAGTTTTCGTTTTAAATTCAAATCAGGTCAGCTGGTCTGTGACAGTGACGCAGGATAAGATGTGTAAGAGAGGGAGTTTGTAATGCAATCAACAGCGAGATCAGCACGAAACAGAGAAGACACAGCAACAGTAAGTCCATCTCAGCTTAATTCATTTTTATTTCACTATTACAGACAAATTCAATATGCATAATCATTAGATGTCACATGGCGTTAAAACAACTTTTCCCCTCCATTTTCCCTGTCTGCAACAAGGGTGATAAGATAAACAATAGCGTAAAGCATTAAAGTGTTGTAAGTTCACGATGCTTTACTACATGGAACAAATGCGCCCTTGCAAATTCACAGGCGTAAAAACTCCGAGCTGCGTTCCCAGCTGCTAAAGCTATTTATCGAATCGAGCAGGATATTTTTTTTTTCTGCGATGACCAAATATTTTCTAAAGAACAAGATAAGAAAAACATTGATGAAATGCAATAGGAAAGAAACAGCAAATCGCATGTTTATACCGAAATGTCTCTGATTATTTATTTTGATAAGTAACTGAATGGATAAACAGTGCTGTAGACTCGATTCAATTTATGATGCAACTTTCTTTAATTGTGTTGAAAAACAAAATGAATTGTACGAAGTAACACAAGTTAATTTTAAACTATTAAAATGAAATATTTTAGAGAAAATACATGTACATTTGATTTCTTTTACCGCTGTGCTTTAAACTTAGTTGGTGGTGGAAAGTGGATTATTTAAAATTTTTCTGAGCGCGTTCTCTTATCTTTAAAGGTTTGAAAACTTATGAATGACGTGACGTAATCATTATGGATTTGAAGGATTCCGACGGTCTGGATACAAATCAACACACGGACTCAATGGAAAACAGCCAGAAATCACCCCAAGGTAGGCATACTGGAAAAAAATGTAATACAAGGTGTATGAAAAAGTGCATCAGAGAACTTTGTCACCTTTTCATTGCATTTTTGAGATTTTTATGTCAAACAGGTGGATTCAATTGCATGCGAAGATACACTTTAATATAGCTATCTTTATCGAGAGAGAAAAAAATGACACCAATGAAGTTGACGTTCATTCTTATTAAGATATCAGATGCTAGGAATTGACCTTTTTTTAATCGCGAATCTTTCTATGTCCTTGTTCTCAATAGATATTGTTACCATTTTGAGTTTTTTTTTAATTTTGAAAGAATAAGAATGAATGAAAGCTTCTATAAATGTAAATTCCAAGCAAACAAACAGTAGTCATCGAATCAGTCAATGGTTTTATAATGTGATTGCTTCGTTTAATACATACAGTTATTTGTTTGGCTAATTTCGCTTGCAGATTAACTCTTTTGATGTGAAAGAGGAAATGCACTGTTTGCTTGCAACGTGTCTCATGGTCATGTTTTGTATAGTAACAAATTAACTTTAGAAAAAAGAATGAAGTTGCCTTTGGTCTTTGATTTGGATGAAAAAATCCTTCAAATATCTTTAATTAGTAATATGTTATTTTGCGATTTTAAGTTCCACATATTTTGGTTTCTTTCTTGGTTTGGGCTCGAAACATGGTAAATATTGAGTGTAGAACTTTTTTTTATGATAGTAGAAAATAAACGTGTGCTTTCTCTATCTTTTTATTACAATATTCCTCATGTCATGATTAGAAATATTAGTCGGTCCGCGGTCAATCGAAAAACCACTAATGGTACTTTCGTGTAGATCCTCGTAGTCTTACACTACTGTACAACTCCCATTCTTTGGAATACTACTAGGGGAATGTTTCAATGCGGAAACAAACATTCCATCCAGCCAACAGCCTAATCGGATGTAAAATTCCAATAATCTACAGTGGGTGTTGATGTTCTGTTTAGTATTTGTTTGTATGCCTGGGTAGTGGTGATTTTGGTATTAGATCTAATGAAAACGGTCGTAAAGAAATCCATAGATCATATTACTTTCCCTTCACCAAAACAAAATCCATTTCTCAAATTTTTTCTTGGTTCTATTTTTCGGCTTTTGATACTCGAAAAAACCAATATGGAAAACTTTAGCACTAGAAATAAATCAAATTTATTTATTTGAAGAGAATAATTCGGAAATGAATGTTATTTGGCCATGGGAATCAAAATCATCAGAGAATACTTAAAGCTAATATTTGAAATTATTTATGAGGTAAATGAGTTGATGTTTCAATTAACAGGCTTTTCAATCGACATTCCATTTCAATAACACGTATTATGATTTATATTCCAGTGAAATCTATGATAGATATATTTATGTTTCTACAACTGTTGCATTCTTTGGAATCAGGGCACAAAACCAGATTGAATATACACTGTACCTGAAACATAATTTGATGACGTCTATCAATGATGGGCAACTTTTAAAAATCCTTTAAGTGTGAAATTAAAAAAAAAAAAGAAGATATCATTTCTTACATTTTTTTATTGTTGTACAGATCTTACTAAATGAGTAATTCAATACTGTTGTTCCAATTCAATGTGAAACATTTCTTTCACGTCACTACAGTCTTGCCGTGATATGTCAGATACAAAGGCAAGGAGTAGACCGTAGGGGGTTCCATTCTTTCACCGAGGCCATCCTTTTGTAGTGTACAGTGTCTTTTTGTTCAGAAAAACTTCCAACAATTTGCAAAATCATGTCGGATTTTGATATATGAATTCTTTAAATGGGGTTCAAGGAACATTAAGAGAAAAAATACGAAGTTACGTATGCCAATTTACTCCCCTAATAAATTTTTCGATTTAAAAAATTAATATCAGCGATGCGAATTTGAGTTCATAAATCAGAGAGAGCAGATAAAATCAGACATTCTGTCAGAGGGTTTAGTTTCACAATTGTACAGCCCATTTGTTGTGGATAGGCATCAGGGAAAATGTGATGCCATCAATTTTGTTGAAGAATAATGCAAAATTAAAATCATTGTTAAAGTCTCATTTCATAAGGTACGATTCTTTGTAATAAAGAACCATTTGAATCTTGAACTTGACACAAAGGTTGTTGATGACATGAGTATACATTAAGCTCACAGCGTCTGGTCGTACAAAGTTCTTGTCTTGACAAGAAGTTTGTAAAACAAGAATCATAGATGCTCTTAATGAACAATGTTGCCATTGACCATAGAATATGCCATGACCCTCAAACAAAGGTCATTTCGGACCTAAGATGTCACAGTGACCGGGCTAGTGACTGTAAATATGAAGAACGGGGAGTCCGATTTTAAAGTACACATGTACATGTACCGTTACATCTTAAAAATGGCATTTCATAAAGATTCATGGAAGCAGGAAATGACATAAATTAACACCAAGAACTTTTAAACAAACACACTTTTCATCAGTTGAAATCTGTATGCTTTCTCCAATGATCTGTATGCTTTCTCCAATGATCTTTGTTGTGGAAAAAAATAATTCTTCACAGAAAGTCCTATCAATTGTGTATCAAAACATTCTTGGAGGATAAAGTCGATTACTTTTTTTGAAATTTTGTTCCTTTGGAAGCGTTTTAGTGATATCTTTGCAAGTAACTATTACAAATATCGCGCAGCCCATTGATAATACGAGATTTGATGTGAGCAGATATCTATCGCACATCATAAACTGTTTCATTCAGATTTCTCTTTGGTTTCTCATCCGAAGAAAAAAAACTGTTGTGAGAAATCTGGTTTTAGCAGAGAACATAGTGTAAAACCTCATCAGTAAAGTGGGCATGGTTGGTAACACGGGATTCTAGCAGAGTAAAATTTAAAATAATTGAACTGAGCATAGGTTGTGAGTCTTTTAATACAATGCTATAGATCACTTTATCAAAAGCATATTTTTAGAGGAAAGTCAGATATAACTAATAAAGAAGAGGGATTTTTGTAATACTGAGGGTTTGCCCGAGGCTCTGTAATTTAGAAAAGCAGTATAATTGGTTGGAAATCTATACAGAACAGATGCTAATACCTATTATTGTATGTTTATCAATGTGTATTTAACAGGGTTACCTAGATTAATTGTGTTTGAATAAAAATAGAACAATCTCTCAAATGGCATGCAGTTCTATTCAGGTCTATCCATGCGAATATTTCAAAATATTGACGCAGGTTTTTTTTAATTTATTTTGGCGCGAGAATACTTGTAAATCTACACACTTCTTTCTATGGTACAAATTCAAATTACTTTTACAATATTAAGTTTCAATTTGACTTGATTACAATTTTCATTTATGATGCCATGTGTGCAGTGAACTAGTACATCTAAACCAATTTTTACATTATTTTGAATCATTTTAAATCATTTTGCATCAAACACAAACAAGACTACAAATGGAAAAATGAATAAAAGTTTACCTGCGGATGATTATTGAAATGGAAAAATGATTAACGTACTGCACAAAACCAAGGAACTAAGCTCAATTTGCTGCAAAAATATATATGCATTCACTATAGGGGGTGGAACTCGGAAACGTTCAAATATTTAATAGTGATTCTCTGTAACCACTTAAACTTCTTTGCAACGCATGGTCACAGATTTTGATGAAACTTTGCCCATTATTACAACTTAACACCAGAAACATATATCAAATAAAATTTCGTTGCTATGTGTCTTGGTTGCCATGGTAACATCCAGAAAAGTTGAAAAAATTGAGATTTTCAGCTACTTTGAATCTTTATTAAGCCTTAATAAAGACTAAGAAAAACAAACAAACTATTCTCACGAAAACATGACACTTTATTGCAACTTATGCTACAAAGAAACTATTTAGAATTTATCTCTAAGTAAGTGGTAACCATGGGTACATTTGGAATACATTTCAGATGCTGAAAAATGCTGAAAAACGCTCAATATTCACTAATGATAGATGTTACATGATCAAACTCGATCAACAATTGAAGAAAAACGATAAAAATATTTGACCTTAAGTAATTAGGTATTGGCAATATTATTCTAAAAATAACTTTCATGGTTGCCATGGTAACATAGTGTAACCATGCAAAATTCATTGCTAAGATTGGGTTAATGCTACTTTCTTGAGGAAAAACAATAAAATTCATGACTGGCACATATACATCCTTAGGACCTTGCAACACCGACAACATAAGACAAATTGGGAATTATTGTTACTTTGCAGTGTAACCATGGAAACAACGTACCAGTTGTTTAAAGTGATATTTTTTTTACTGCTTTAGGAATTTACTTACCTTTTAATCAAGGAACATATGATTTGACTCATCTTGAATAGTACTTATCTGGTAGAACTAAAGTTGAATATCATATATTGATAAAGTTTGTTGAAAAATACAACACTGTTGCTATGGTTACCAAGAAGGGAAAATGTTCGATTTTGTTAATTTTATATCAATATTAAATCCTTTGTGCCAGCTTTTTGCATCCAGTTAGAGATTGGGTGGTAGTCAAAATTGAAAGTCAGGTAAGTTGTTCATATATATCAATCATAAAAGTTTTGGGAATCTACATACAAGGGTACGTATCCAAGGAAACAGTATATTTTTCAGATTTTTATGCATATTTTTTCGGCTAATTTCCATAGCAACGCTCTATTTAAAGAATCGAATTTGAATTTTTTGAAATGTGAAAATTAGGGTCACACCAACGCCTTTAAAAATTGATCATTAGTTATATAGAAATATGCTTTGTAAAAAGATAGGATAAAATTAAAATACTAAGAGCGTAAATTTAAAATCCCTTTGTGGTATTAAAACCATGGCAACCATTGCCAACCTATAAGAAATATCATATTTCGTCCTTGGTATATGTTACAAGGATCTCTTGTCTATTATTTGCTTGCATTTCAACCTATAATTGTTTTTACTCTTAAGTGTATGACTTTATAAAATTAAATGAACAAAATTATTACTTTTGAATACTTTGTTTCCATAGTAACGTATGTAATAGTTGATTTACCAAACATGTTTATCATGCATTTAAGACATCAGGCCTTCAACTTTCAGAAACAGTCATTGCCACTTGTTTGCTTTGCTGCAAATGTTAACTGTGGGACTCTGAACATGTTGAAAAATGCCATTTTTCAAAATTTAGGACGAGTTGCTATGGTAACCATGACACGTAGCAACCAATTTTTGCCTGATTTGAGTTTACGGTATCAAAGACTTTTATCATAGAGAGTTTGGAGAAATTCTGAGACTATGCGTGCCACAGCTCCTATATAAAATTTAAAGTCGTTACAGAGAATGACTCTTAATACTTCAAACTGAAAACATTGAAGGCGATTTTTTTTAACTGTACTTTGTCTAGCAATAATTTACTGCAAATAAGCACAGAAGAAGATATATTTTGGACACCTACACCTGTTATTCATAAAACGACAAACAGTCGCTGTACTACTATATTCGTAGGTCTTGGCTCCGTAGGGTTTGAACAGTGACAATTTTGTACGCGGTGTCTATTTGCTATGTAGATGCACTAAGGTGTCGAATCAAGTCTTTCTCATAATCTGTTATATATGAATTAGGCCTAACAAAAAGAAAACGAAATCCCGAGAAAAGCGATCATATCCCATAAATCATAATTTTTATTTTTTTAATAAAATGTTAGTGTTTTTGTAAGCAAAGGTATGTCCAGGCGGCGCAACCTCTAATATGACGTTTTTTCCTACCTGAGTGTAACTGAGAAAAACTCTTTAGATATGAGTATTTGTCATCAGAAAATCTCGTTAATTCAGGCATGTGGTATGACACATTTGTTCAGTAAAATTTGGAATTTTTACCCCATTCTGTAATTTCTATGAAATTTTATCGTAAATTTTATATGGAGTGTCCAAACAATTATGGGCTTGAAAATAACGTCAAAAGGGGGGAGGGGTTTCTTTTTCAAACACTCTATAGAGTTTCGGTCCTGGAAAAACTGGTATTGACCTAAGGAATGTTTAAACTGGCTACAGAAAAATAAAATGCATCCAGAGTACTTGTTTTTTAATGCCTAAAAAGATTCAGAGAGATGAAATATGCACAGCTAGTGTCGATTTGTAGTCAGGGTGTCAAAAGTCAGTCACGTCGAAAAGTGACGTTGATCATGTGTGGTAGAAATTGAACTCCAACAAGCTAAGTATTCTGGCATAATCAAGTGAGGATCTTTCCCTATATAAAGATCCATTTACAATATTATATGCATTGAAAACAGCTGCTCATGACATTGTAAATTCATATAAATAAGACGGGTTTAAGTCCTAACTTAACTCCAGGTAATCTCATCAAGATAAGTGTATGAGGTAGAGAGAGCGGACATTAAGAAACAATGACGTTAAGCGGACGTCATGACACTAAACGGCGACAGCGCCGGGTGATCACATAAAGTCTTTTTAATTTTAGAATAATTTGGCAAATTATCAACTTATCAAGCTAAAATTTTCAACATTTCTTAAACTTTTGTTGTTTTATGTTCCGCATAAATTTTGTAAGCAAAGACTACATATTATTAATTTTATCGCGTCAGTCCACGAACTTTTTGATAACCCCTCGTATTTTTAAGAAATATCATTAATACAAGCTGCAGTTCGAAAAATTTTGGCAATATTATTTTTAATCTCTATTGAGATTCTGCTGGGCTAGATATTTGGACTGACGCCCACAGAATCTCTAGACAACCACTCATAATTCATGTCTGGAAATCAAGCCCCAACTTCGGCCGACTATAGCAAGAATTATTCACCTAGACCACAATGCCGTTCGCTTCAATTAAGTCATTTGGTTGATTATTTGACTCTCTGTCACTATCATTTCCACATTGCTTACCGTTTAGGCATGTAAATCCCAACATAAAAATATTCACTGAAATCTCCGTTCGAAATATGGCTCCTTTGACGAAATTGTTTACCTCCTCACATAAAAGAGTTCCTATAGTTTGTTTTTACCCTATGTGATTATGAACTAATGTCTACTATGGCTATTGAACATCACATAAAAGAAAACGGACTATAGGAACTCTTTCATGCGAGGAGGTAAACAATTTCGTCAAAGGAGCCATATTTTGAACGGAGATTTCAGTGAATATTTTTATGTTGGGATTTACATGCCTAAACGGTAAGCAATGTGGAAATAAAAGTGACAGAGAGTCAAATAAACAACCAAATGACTTAATTGAAGCGAACGGCAGTGGGGTCTAGATGAATAATTCTTGCTATAGTCGGCCGAAGTTGGGGCTTGATTTCCAGACATGAATTATGAGTGGTTGTCTAGAGATTCTGTGGGCGTCAGTCCAAATATCTAGCCCAGCAGAATCTCAATAGAGATTATATTATTTTCAACTGCATTTCGATTAGTTTTTCATATACATAGAGCCCTGCTAAAAAGGGAAACCCTTTTTAGCCGGGCTTAATGCTCGTACAGCAAAAGGCGATTATTTTCAGCCTGCTCAAACCGGACATTGACAAAACACCGTCAAATCAAATTTAAGTGAAAAATACAGTACTTAAAAATGATTTTCTTTACAGATCACTTTCGGTAACAAAATAGACCAAACCCCTGCGGCAAGAATTTAATAACATATTAATACTGTATTTAATATTTTGTTTTCTCTGTTATTTCACACGTGTTGCACTTTACATTTATGGATATGAAGCATAAAAATAAAAACAAACAAACAAAGAAAACCCAAAAACCGGAATTCAATAGACAATTCTATAGTCAAAATAACAAAAATGATAGATACATCATACAAACATTACATATGGTTCTATATCTTCAATATCACCTTTTCTGAAACAAATGGAAAGTTAAATGGATACATACCTTATATGATGTAAGGACGTAAAAATACATGTACATGTACAGTTTCAATCTAGAAGAGACACCATGTGTATCGATTCCTATTTTCTGCAAATGCAAAAGAGTAGTGGAAAAAATGTAAGCATAGAATTATCTTGTTTTAGAAAAATAAAACATTCATGATAAGATTATGTTTGAATCAGAGGACATTTGTTCTTAAGAAATTATAAGGTAGCTCCTGATGACGGTTTTTTGAGTCTAGATAACGTCTTCTCCAGAGCTCTCCACATAGACAGAATACTAGACATTTTCCTACAGATTCTGCAATAACAGAATAATATTGACATAGATTACCTGTTATATACCAAGTAAACAAGATGAAAGCACAATATCTGAACACTTTTATTCAGATTCTGTAGAGAGAACTTTACATTTTGAATGATATACTTTTGAAGACATAAAAAATAGTAATTCTACGAAGATTATAATGGAAAGCCAACAACCTTGACAATAAACTTATTTTTCATTGCTAGAGAACAGACTGAGTAATACAAGTAGTAACAATGATAGTCTGGGTTTTTTTTTAAATATTAGACCCGCTAGTAGAGAAGAAAGATGAAGTAGATCTTGAACACAAAGAGAGGGAGACATGGGACACGAAGATTGACTTCCTGTTGTCCGTCATTGGGTTTGCAGTGGATCTGGCCAACGTGTGGAGGTTTCCCTATCTCTGCTACAGAAACGGGGGAGGTAACGTATAAATAAATGGTTAACATATTTTATACCACTTAATTTTAGGTTACCAAAGAGGCGGTCAAAGAACAATTAAGGACAAATATATGTCGTTTATGTATCACAATTTGAATTTACATCACATATCGTTGTCAGGCTATACATAACTAACCTATATCCTTCATTTTGTTGTTTCTTTTTGCAGGTGCCTTTTTGATTCCTTATGTCCTGATGCTGGCTTTGGCTGGTATTCCATTGTTTTATATGGAACTGGCTATCGGTCAATATAATAAAACCGGTGCAATTACTTGCTGGGGTCGTTTATGTCCATTATTTAAAGGTAAATTTTGATTTGTGGGGAAAATTCACATTCTTCAATGAAAATTAAGTAAGACTGCGTAAATGAATTCTGTTCATTTTTTCCTGATTATTAAGTAGTCATTGTACTTATTTGTATCTTTTTCTCATCATTTGTTTTCACTTTCATTTCTAATAAATTTTTGTCTATATTTAGGGATCGGATGGGCTGTGGTTTTGATTGCATTTTACACAGACTTTTTCTACAACGTGGTTATAGCGTGGTCCATACATTTCCTCTTCTCCTCCTTCACTAGTGAGCTTCCATGGGCGAAATGTGGTCACTCGTGGAACACCGAGTATTGCTATGAAGGGGAACCACGTGCTGTGCCCAGTAGTGAAAACATTTCAAACATTACTTATGAAGGGACGACTGTGTTTAATTCAATATCTACATTGATAGTGAATGATAACATAACAAATAGTACAAACGTTACAGAAGTGAGGAAAATTTCACCAGCTGAGGAGTATTTCAAGTAAGGATACCACAAAGGCAATTGTCTTAGGGAGGAAAAATTGCCTCCAAGTTGCTCCCTCTTCGAATACGCCTGTATATTTTAAGACGAATTCCAAGAAAATGGACTGACCTTTTTATTATATAAAAACGCTTACAAAGAAAAATTCGGATAGCTAAGAAATATTCTGCAATCACAAAAGTTTACTTTCTAAATAAAATTATACCCACATTAATTGACCCAGAATTACCAAGAATAAGATTTACCTTTATCCTCTACCATAAAAGGTTATGTCTGATGACGTGTCCTTTTTTATTACTTATTGGGGAATTTCCTTCTTTCAATTATTGTTGGTGTCAGAAAGTTCGATTCTTTCAAACAAACCTTTGAACCCCAAACCAAAAGAAATCGCTAGGGATTTTATTTGTGATTATAAATGCATACGAACCTCGCACAGAATACATGTATAATATTCTTCAGTTTTATCCCCCAACCGACTCCTAGGATGCAATATTGGAGTTGAAAGCAGAGAAAGCAACTCATATTTAATATATTTACAAAATTTCAAAATGTTAGAAAATTAACCCAATTTTGTTTCCATGGCAACAGCAGCCACTTTGAAAAATTTTGAACCTCAGAAACTTGGGGAGACACAAACACATCAAAATTTGCAGTATGAAAAACCTTTCGAGGAAAAAATCAAACTAAAATTAAAATTCCCCTTTTTCTTAACATGACCACAGCGGAAAGATTTATTTATCCGATTCCATTTTTATGGCATATATCAATATGACTTGTTGCAAGGAATTATCCTTTAACGTTTCCAACAAAAAAAAAAAAGAAAATGGCATGGCAATTGATGAAAAAAAAATGAAATTTCAAATTCTCATTTTCTTTATTTTTCTGGACAACGGTGTTCATTTTGAATATTTTATAATTTCACTCATAACTAGACTTGCATATTATCTTAAAATACTTTTAAGTTTCAATAAGATCGTGGAGCAATATGTCCCCCGATTCCGTTCGGTTTGGTATGAATACATGTTCATGTATATTTTAAGAAGAAGACGATTACACTAGACAATTCCATATGATACTGTAGGGTGTTGAAGTTATGTAAATTATTAATGCATTGAAATTCTCTTGACAAAAACTTCTTTTTGTTTATTTTAGCAATCGATTCCTGCAGCTTGACCAGAGTGGCGGTATATTTGACGTGGGTTCCATTAACTGGGAAATCGCCCTCTGCTTGTTAGCCGTGTACCTCATTTGTTACTTCAGTTTATGGAAGGGAATAAAGATGTCAGGAAAAGTAAGACCCATTATCTACAATCAACAAAATATAGACCTTTTAATGAGGACGACTCTCTACTCCAGCCCTCAATGCTTCAATTTTCACTTTATTCCACGTGGTTGCAATCACAACCATTGATTTGTTAATTAAGACGGAGATGGTCAAGAAGAACGGGTTGTATTTTGTAATTGACATTCACACTTAATATTAGTTCGTTTCTAGTCTGAGAGTTTGGAACTTCAGCAGTTAAAATTTGTGAGGCATGGATCAAATTATCCATTCAGCTATGTACTGTGTTACTTATATAAAAATTCGAGAAATAAAATACAAAACAACTGTGTTATTCATGCTTTGAGTCAAGTGCAGTTACAAACTTCTGTAATATTTCTTGAAATGTCCAGGTATCTTTGAAATGACATTTTAAAAAGTCGCCTTCTTCTGTTGTGCATGTGAGTTTGTGTGAAGAAATTCGTACGAAACTAATGCACGTTTGCACGTTTCTAGGTACATGTATTATATATACAATACTTGTGTACTGATTTTCTTTCTCTAGGTTGTATGGTTCACTGCATTGTTTCCTTACGTGGTATTGGCCATTTTAATGGTCCGTGGAGCAACACTAGAGGGCGCTGGGAAAGGAGTAGAGTACTACCTGACCCCGAACTTCACCAGACTCGCCAGTTCTAATGTAATGTTTCTTGTTCCTAAAACAAACTTAGAGGCAAAACTGAAACAAATATACAATCGAATTTATTCTTTTTAGAAACATTTAAAACATGACAAAATAATAATTCCGTGGAAAAATTTCTGTCTAAAATGATATAAAACTTGTAGGTTTGGGTAGACGCGGCGACGCAGGTTTTCTTTTCCTTGGGACCTGGTTTTGGGGTTCTTTTGGCGTATGCCAGTTACAATCAAATCAACAATAATGTTTACAGGTTTGTATTCAAAGATTTTCTTGACATTCATTTGTGTGATCGGTATGTGATTAACTTGTAGTATTTTTTCGGTGTGTCAACGGACAAAGCTTTTTTTTTTTTATAGATATATATATTTAATTAAAAAGCTTATCAAGAGCAAAATGCCTCAGTTTATTGGATCAAACTACAGGATGTTACATTTCAATTATAAATAATTAACTCATACAAATGCATTTCGTTCATTCTTTCGGAAAATTTGACTTTCCACTTTAGTACCACAGTTGATATAGTTGTGCTGTTTTTGTTTGATTTACGGTCAAAACCTTTTACAACAACCATCACGTTTTATTTGCAGACGACAACTATTACAGAAGAAAATTAAGCGCGAAGTTATTTAGATGGACTTGTGTCAATTAGTTTCAATGTTTTCTATTTATATGGTGAACGTAAATCTATAGGAGTATGCCTGGTCTGTTTAATTTGGTTAAGTTGGTGAATACGGTTCAAACGATAGCTTTCTTAAAGCTCGGAAACTTTTTTTAAAATTCTTTACTATAAATTTTAGAAATTTTGATGGAAATGTTAAGCAAAGCTTCAAAATCGTTGAAATAATTCTTCATCATAATGGACTTTTAAACCTAATTTTCCCAGTTATTTCTCTAATTCTGAAAGAGATTGCATCTTCACTAACATTTTGAATACAAACACTAAATTGTTTTCGCAAGACCCTAACTTGTTCAATTATGAAACACTTCTTTCGGTTTACTGAAAATCAAGGAAACTTCTTAAATCTTAATTAAATCATAGCAAACGTACAAACTGAAATCTTTTTTACGGTCAATTGTTTTACTGATTTGTTGGTCTTTACAACCTTTTTCTCACCTTATATTTTGAAACTTTCGTGTGTTGGCACTAATCCCACTTTACATTCTTTCAATTGTTTCTTTCGTGTGTTGGCACTAATTGCTCTTTTCATTCTTTCAATTGTTTCTTTCGTACATTGGCTCTAATCCCACTTCATACTCTTTTAATTGTTTCTTTCGTACACTGGCTTTAATCTCACTTTATATTCTTTCAATTATCTCTTTCGTGTGTTGGATCTAACCCAACTTTATATTTTTTTCAATTGTTACTTTTGTGTGTTGGCCCTAATCCCACTTTACATTCTTTCAATTATTACTTTCGTGTGTTAGCACTAATCCCACTTCACATTCTTTCAATTATTACTTTCGTGTGTTGGCACTAATCCCACTTCACATTCTTTCAATTTTTTTTTATTGTTCATTGGCTCTAATCCCACTTTTTTATTCTTTCAGTTGTTTTTTGCGTACATTGGCTCTAATCCCAATCTGCATTGCATTCTTTCAAATTTTACTTTTGAGTGTTGGCACTAATCCCATTTTACATTCTTTCAATTGTTTTTTTCCGTTTATTGGCTTTAATTCCACTTTATATTCTTTGAATTGTTTCATTCATTTGTTGGCTTCTACAGTATATTTTCACTTCATATTTTATCAAAAATGCATGAACCGAAATTTCTTATTCAATTGATTCATTCTTGGGTTGGTCCTTACAATTAACTTCACTCCCACTTTTTATTCTGTTAATTTTTACTTTTGTGTGTTGGCTTTTACAATATACTAACACACTAATGGAACTTCTGCAAGAATATAAAAAAAAGTATATTGTATAAGCTTTACAGCATACTTTTTTAATTTATGTTCTATTCAGATGTTGACTTTGATAATATACTTTTCTCTCACTCTATACTGAGTGTCTTTCAATTGCACCACAACTAATGGTATTGCAATCAAATTCAAGCCACGTGGGCTTTCTTGACCTACAACGAAAATATGTAATAGTTGATACTCTGAGTATGATAAAATAAGAGTTTGGGGTGCATTTCCAATGATATTGTGGGGTGTTGTAATAGAATATATTTTCTATTACCGTGTCTCCATGCATAAGTCATTTTGTAGCTTTAATTAAATGAATAGCAGATATAATTAATTTACCCGATCCATTGGAAGTCTCACTGCAGTCTCTTTGTAGTCTCGCCAGAGTTTGTTAGAACTCCTCGGGTAATATTTTCTGTAGACTGAAAAATAAAGTTTCTGAACACATCCGTATGGGTGAATCGTTTCATTCGTGTGTTGGCCTAGACAGCATACTTTTCTTTCACTTTATATTCTTTGGGAAATGTTTTCTTCATTTGATTAAGAACCGCTGCCGTCTTTTGACAGGGATGCCTTAATCACCAGCAGTATAAACTGTATGACAAGCTTTGTGTCAGGGTTTGTCATCTTCATGATACTGGGCCACATGGCCGAGACCGCCAAGTTACCCATAGAAAATGTTGCTACAGAAGGTAACAATTGTCATTTTGTTTCAAAGATGAATATTTTTAATTGATGAATAACGGAAATTTTAGAAGTAAACATCTTCCTTTTTGATTGAAATATACGTCTCATGTTTACATTTCAGTCTCGGTAAATTAACTTGTCTATTTTTGTAGGTCCCGGTCTCGTTTTCGTTGTTTACCCAGCTGCCATAGCAACTCTTCCTGCAGCACCATTTTGGTCCATAATATTTTTCTTGATGCTTTTGACTCTGGGACTGGACAGTTCGGTATATCAAATAAAAGTTTAAGTTTTTGATTTCACCAGGCAATTTCCATCATCAATTAAACAAAAGAAATAAACTATTAGTATTTCTTCTAGTTTGGGGGTTCGGAAGCCATCATTACAGCCATTTCTGATGAGTTTCCAGTTCTGAGAAAACACAGAGAAGTATTTGTAGGAGCTCTCTTTTCACTGTACATGATAGTGGGGCTGGCATTCTGTACGCAGGTAAATCAAATGCAATCTCATTAAACACAAACATATTTTTTTAATATATATATATATTTTGTTAAGTACAAGTGAAAGAATTTCTTCAAGTATCCCCTTTTTTGTCAGGTTACATTCATTGGATTTTTAAAAAACCTTTGTATTAATTAGTGAAAATGTAACAGATTATTTATAGATATTCATTTTTCCTAATCATTTGTTACTATTTGTCAGTATGTACATGTATGCATTGCGTGACGGAACCATTTTTTTAAATTGAAATTAAACAGTTTCTCAATATTTTCTGAATATTTTAGGTTTTTTGGGCCTAAGTTAAAGATTAACAATATAGAATTAGTGCTATTATATATCCTATTGAAAATGTGGACAGATGTTGAAAGTGCCAAGCACTAACGTATTGTATCAAAGGGAAAACAAAAACAAAAAATAGATACATGTATATAATTTCCTTTTATCTGAATCAAGTTAATGTTATTTCAATTGCCTTGTTTAATGTCATGGATATGAGATTCCAATATTTATATAATCATTGTAATGGATTCACGATAGTTAGGTCATCTAAAAGAAAAATTGCCATAAAAACAATTGTCTACCAGTTTTTACTTGTGAACGATACTTCAGTATAGAATAAGTTAAGCGATAATGAAGGAAGTAGTTTTTCCTCTGTATTTGGCGATCCATTACCAGGTAAAATATATTGAAAACATCACTTAGGAATTCTTGGGAAATTCGTCGGCCCTTGAAATGAATACGGTTACCGAAGATTGCTGTATAAAACGTGTTTTACTTGCATTCTATTGCTGGAGGGAGTATTCCGCCGGTCCACACATTCACAGTAACTAATACGACCCTCATACATTTCTGAAGCAGGAAATAAATTGTTTTTGCTTAAATTATAGGCTAGACATAAACGAAACCAGATGCGTCTACCCCCTGAAGCCCATTGTTATTTGAAAAAAGGACAAGACGACCGGATCAGGATGTCTTAGGAAATATATTATTTTCCAGTTACTGTCAAATATTCTCCGATTCTCTCACAAAAATGCTACAAAATAACCAGAGGCATTGTAAAGTGCACCTAACACCTTTAAACACAAAATTAAACGTGTCAAAAAGCTGTTGTTCCAAGTTGTCCAATACAAAGATTTTGTTCTCGTAGTTTACAGAAATGTGGATGTTTCCCATGTTAAATTTTCTTTCTTTTAATTACAGGGTGGAGCTTACGTTGTGTCGCTGATGGACAAGTATGCGGCGGGTTACTCTATCTTGTTTGCAGTGTTTTTTGAGAGTTTGGTGTTGTCCTGGGCATATGGTATGACATGTGACTGTCTGGTCTACTTATAAAGAGTACTAGCCTGTTAGACACTGGGACATTATATTTGGTTTTATTTATTTCAAACCACTCCCAAAATATCCCATCTTTAGGAAAACAGAGAAAGACAGTCCTAACAAGTTGTCTTATATTTAAGTTTTCTCGAAAATTGTATTTGTTACAAATGTCGAACATGTAGGCGTAATGTCTATTAACAATAGTTACTTCCATTCATTGGTCGATTAGATATATCCCAGTGGACTTGAAATAAATGATACCACAGAATCTGACAAATATGTTTCATATTTGGATATTTTACTAGAAAAAGACATTAATGGTGACTTTTCTTTAACATTTCAATCATCAACTTCCCTTACTAATATAGCAATATACCCTTATCACCTTCATATGGGGTTTACGTCTCCCAGTTGATTTGATACGCAAGGACATGCTCTATGTACGATCATTTTCTTTTTAAAACGATGCAAGCTACAAACCAACGAGTTAATGAAACAAATATATCAACAGTCTCGTTTTAAATCATCATTTTGCAACTTCCATGGTCGATACAATGACCTTGTCAGAAAATGCAATGTATCATTTGGTCAAATGTTCATACTAATTGTCAGGCCATTATTAACACACTGAAATTAATACGGATTTTCCCGTTTACCCGATCATGACAAGGCACACACGGTGAGCTTGAATACTGTTCGTTACCTCCATATTTCATTCAAAGTTTGAAAATTTTCAATATACCAGGTAAATACATGTATATGTATAACAAATCGAACTTATTCTACATTCTTATTTCAAAAATCTTCATTTAAGAATTGCTGTTGTATTTTCAAGAGGAAACTAAAACTCGAATTGCTTAGAAATCAACAAAAAAATTATGAAAACGGAACAATTTTTTAAAAAAGATTTTTTACACTGTATAGCTGTGTACCAGAAATACTTATTCAAAATCTGCGAGTTTTACGACCAGTGTGTATTTCTTTCTCATACATTATCTTTATTATATTGAGTTGTCATTATCTTTATTATATTGAGTTGTAAGAGAATAAATGTTCTTGCAGCCGGAGCATGTTTTGGTTCGTTGGATTTCATCATCTTTTTAAGGATACTGTTATTATACCTACCCTTTCACTGTTTGACTTTTCTGTCTTTTCTTTATTACGCATATTTCAAGGCTTTTTATATGCTTCTTTCCACAGGGGTTGAAAGGTTTTCAAACGATATCCAAACAATGCTTGGACACCCTGCTGGTATATACTGGAAAATCTGCTGGAAATTCATAGCACCATTATTTATTTTGGTAGAGTATTGTAATTATTCTTGTAATCTTAATTATCAAACAGAAACAGAATCTAATTAAGAAAATTTTTCCAGCGTTCTGCTTTACTTAGATATTTTTACTGTTCATAAGATCTGGTCACAGACGAGGAGGAATCTATATCAAAGGAATTTATTATTTTTTTATGTTACAGTGGATTATGATTTTTGGTCTGGTCCAGTATACACCTCATAGTTATGACAACTACATATACCCCTGGGAGGCCAACTTTATTGGCTGGTGCGTGGCGCTATCCTCTGTTCTATGTATTCCACTATTTGCAATAATTGGATTCACAAGAGCAAGTGGTTCACCGTCAGAGGTAAGATGTTAAGAAAGGTCTGATAAATCTGTATATTTCACTGTGGTCCAAGTATCCATGAAATCATGTTCATATTGATCGAAGATTAAATAATAGTTACAGCGACTTTTTTTCCCAAAAAGTCACATGTATAAAACATAAATTTGACCGAAAATTTTGTTGTTCATTATTGATACACGAGAAAACATTAGAGATTAAAAAAAATTAGAAAGATCAACAATGAAATGATATTAAAAGCCATTTAATTTTTAGCGCCTGAAATTCCTGCTAACACCGACCAATGAGAAAGGAAGAGAGGCAATGGCTGGCTACCATGTAGTTAGGATGAATGGGGGAATGGTTATTGGTGAAAAGGTGTAGGTCCTGTTGCTGAAATGTATAAATACACTAAGTAGCAAAGACGTGTATCCCATGTTTTGTTTTGTATATTTCTAGTCTGTATTCTAGTCATAAAGATGTTACTGCTCATGACTTCTGCGCACTGACAAGAAATACCTTGAAACAGTTTTAGTAAGATGGTCCTGTCACAGAATTCTGTGAAACTGTTGCTTGGCAATTGACGGTAAGATTGTAGTAAACGACGTTAAACAGAATTATTATTAGACTGATAATAAAGTGAGTTGAGAGATAGTTTAGGTTACAAAGTATCAAATAGTTGTCATGGGTCTTGACTAATGGCTGTTTTGTAACAAGAGCATTGATTTATCCAGGTTTTCGTCTTGTTAAAAAGTTTTCAACGGTGAAATTTTAAGGTACAAGAGAAAATGTCATAATATTATCTAATGTATACCTCAATGTTATTGGCACATTGTACATATTGTTAAGTGCCTTAATGATGGATAATTTAAAAGAATTTGCCATGCACTTACTGAGTTTAAATTTACTTACAATATACCTCATTGTTTTACCTGTTTTGTATAATGGACCACATACGTTTTTGTTATGAACCATATGTTAGTGGAACGTTGCAATATTGACGCACAATCGGACAGTACACATGCACTGACTGGCTGCCTGCTTCAGAACACATATATTATATATAATACTCATTCTAGAGGTGTAATAGATATGCATTTATTATTAATAGTCTTAAGTAATGTTACAGAATACGATATGGTAAAGATAAAATCCATTTTTTTTTGTTTTAAATATACATGCTTATAGATATTGTAAAGCAGGAACTGAAATGTCAGTCATATATGATAATATAGCAGGTATCTAGGAATGATGGAATTCATGCACTTCCAGATTATTTCCAAAACAGGTACTCTTGTTTTATAAAGTGTAGTATATCCTAGAATATAAAGAACTGTTTATGTTGTTTTATGACAGTATCATATAGAGTCAATATTACCGGTTTTGTGTATATCTGTAAATTTAATATTAATATGATACACTGCATAGTGTACGTATTCGTGTTGTCATGTGATTTCTGTATCGTCGGAAGTACACTGTAAATTCTTGGTCCATGATATTGTGTATGTATAATCTCTTGTACACTGTGAATAATCAGCATGTTTTGAATATATAAAATGACAAGAAGATGTTTCCTGTTTATTTCCTTTAGTTTTCAATAAACCCAATTTTTCACCCAAATATCAATTTAATATATATAAAAAAAAAATAAAGTTTAAGGACAGTAAATTCTCTTTTTCCGAATACCTCGATAGTGAATCGATCTGAATTAAATTTGATCCTTACAGAAATTTAAAAAAAAATGTAGGGTCTTGTTTGTGAAAACAGTGCCCCGTCATTCTGTGAGGTCATCGTCGTGTTTCAGAACCGTCAGATGTATATTCGACAAATGTACTGGATTTTCTTCATCATCTATTCTGTTTTCTTCATCTGTGACCTGGAAAATAGTGCTCTACCCATTACATAATCGTAATATAACACATAAAACTTGCAGAGTTATGTTCTGTTCATATAAGTGCCACAAAACTTTTTCCAAGCATTAAAACTGATAGCTTTCACATTTTAACAATTTATTTTGATACCTTTTGTCAATCGATACTAGTTTTTGATTTGTTTTATTTTTATCATGAAGGCAGTGATCATTGGAGTAGATAATCTTGTAATACCTTTATTATTGAAACTTTATCGTTAGGCATCTCCTCTGTTACATAAAGACTGTTCTTGGCTGAAGTCACAGATAAGGGACATTTCACAGTAAAGTCGGAACAAGTTGGATATAACCGGTTATTTTCAAATTTTAGACTCTGGATAGTTTTCTTGTCATAACAACACAGGAAGATATTGTTGTCTTTATCAGCTGATATTCCACTTGGTATACATTTGGGATCGAAGACAAACTTAAGATGCCCCGTCAGTCCTATACCCACCACTTTACAGAGTCCTGAATCTGACACCATGATACAATCACCCTTTAAATAGGTCAGACTAGCGGGTGTTCGAAATACTATAGAATTATTCAAACAAGAACTTACAGTTACCAAAACTACTCCCATGTAATTGAGAATGTCCACAGAACTTTCTCCTAACTCACAACATCCGACTACAAGTCTTTCTTCATCCACACAACAAATGGGCTGATACTTCTTCTCCGTCTTCCGTCGCGAACTTAACGTCATAACTCCATCCATACTGATGAAAGACAAAATTCTAAATTCTGGTTCTGTAACTATCACATGACTCGAAAGGGGAAGTACAGATGCTCCACAAGGGTCATCCAAAAGAAGCTGATCCACAAAAGTCCGGGAGCGGATCCTAAATCTTTTGAGTCTTTTGTTTTCATTGTCTACCACTATAAGTTTGTCTCCCACATTTAAGACCTGTGTTAGGAGACATTCTTGTTCATCGTCTAGCCTAGCACTGAATCCGTCATTAGGAGATGGAATCGGCGTAAAAGGTTGTATATCTACTGTAGCACACACTGGTATACTGCAGTTCATTTTAGCAGGATGTGGCCTACCTATCGGAAAAAAATCTATTGGTTTCTAAGAGGTTTTGCAAGTTCAATCGACTACTGTTTGTATATCTTCTAGGGTATAAACTTACCTTTCTAAACATTCAAAAAGAGCCCGAATTCACCTCTCTTTTCTCTGAAAATCTGATTCGTGTTTCCCAGAACTAGTATTTCGTCTACCGATAATGGCTGTGTAATTATATATAATATCGGCGACCTGTCTTTCCCTCAAAGTTTGTGATAGGCATATATACTCAGAGGGATTTAAATTTTTATATCGGGTGTCGTTTGATTGCTGCATTGTGTATATTTAAAGATTGGATCGAACTTCAACTGTTCAAAAGAATGCAATGGTTCTGTTGACTGAACTCATTAATAAAGTCGACAAAAATTACCTCTTCTGCTAGATTGTGATTGTCCCTTGGGTAACCGTGAATACAGTATGATAATTGAAACAAACACGAGATGATAACTCTCTTACTGTTAAATATTGTGGACAGATACATGTATGAGCATCTTTTATGAGTATAATCGCGACATCTCTTGTTTACAAGCAAGAAATAATGATCAAATAATGATCAAATTACCCAAAGACCATGTCGACTTTGCGTATGATTGTAATTTTAACAAGGAAGGTATGGCATGTCAAACGTTGCAATATTCGATCTTTTCCATTTGTATTGTATAACTTTCCATTTGTATTGTATAATTTTTATTTGTATTGTATAATTTTTATTTGTATTGTATAATTTTTCATTTGTATTGTATAATTTTCCATTTGTATTGTATAATTTTTATTTGTATTCTATAATTTTCCATTTGGATTTTATAATTTTCCATTTGGATTGTATAATGTTTATTTGTATTCTATATTTTCCATTTGTGTTGTAAAAAAAATCATTTGTATTGTATAATTTTTCATTTGTATTCTATATTTTCCATTTGCATTGTATAATTTCTTATTTGTATTGTATAATTTCTTATTTGTATGCGATAATTTTTCATTTGTATTGTATCCGAGGATTGTTTATTTATTTCGTTACGAAGGATGTCATTGGTCATAAAATTTAGTCTGTATAAAGGTCTCAGGTGCCCATCACAAACTTACTCTGGTACCCTCCCCACAATTCCTATCGCGCACTCTCTACAAACACAAACTCGGCTCCTCTATTTGCGGTGCATGCTAAGGGACGACCATTTGATTCTCGGGGGGTGTCGAATCCGATTATTTATTTTCATTCTCTCGCAGGAGAGAATATTTATTTCCAATATGACCAGAGACAAGGAGAAAAACAAAAAGAAGAAAATCCGCCCAAACCCGAAAACTCAGTTTTTTTGGGGTGGGGGTAGTTACCACCACTCAAGGTCAATTTATTTATTTTCTCAGTCAGCATTTCTAAGGACAGATTATTTATTTGCCATCTATAGCTACCAGCGCTCCCTTTTTAGAATCCAATGACCGTCTAACATGCACGCAAATACATATGCCGCCGAAATATGGCTGAAATATTACCGACTCGGCGTTAAACAATAATCAATCAATCAATATAGCAAATATATATGAGCCCAGTTTGCTTTGAGCATCCGGAACATCTTCAACCCGATACAGGCTGAAACTTGACCAATGAAATCCTTCGTAACGAAACAAATAAACAGTCCGCGGATACAATACAAATGAAAAAATTATCGCATACAAATAAGAAATTTTACAATACAAATAAGAAATTATACAATGCAAATGAAAATTATAAAATACAAATGAAAATTATACAATACAAATAGAAAATTATAGAATACAAATAAAAATTATACAATACAAATGATTCTCCTTCAAGGCAAGCAAAATAAATAAATAAAATAAAATAAATAAATAATTAAAATTTAAAATTGGAGAATTTCAAAGCTTTGGCATTACTCGCCTTGAATTAAACACTACTGCATTGTGCAAATTCGCTTTAAAATGCTAGAAAATCTGTATCGAGCTTGAAGAAGAATGGAAAGTTTCTCACTTACAGAATGGTAATAATAAAAAAAAACTTGCATAAAGTTGAGGGATTTAACACTACGCTGAATTAGGTTTAGTTCACGAGGTAGGATATCGACGACTTGTCACAGAGTTCTCTAAGTATAGTATTTTCAAGGAAAATGAGTAGTGATATGTTATATATCATTATATGCTAACAAGGTCATTATTTAACGACCATTGAATTTACGAAACACTGACTTTAAACGAAGTTGTTGAAATCCCTGTAACATCAACTGTCTGTCACTGTCATATGTCAATTATCTGTCAGTAGCCTGCCTCAGTATACTCAGGGCATGCTCTTGAGTATCGAATAAGTTGGGAGATGTAAACACCATACGCAGGTATCGCGGAATATTACTACCTAAATAGGGAACATCGACGAAGAAAAACTGAGGTCACCTGGTTTGTCACACAATTTAGTAATTAGTTGACCCTAGTCGTCTATAGTCAGTAAAACATCCAAAAATGAAACAGATATGACAGACTCTTTGGTATCTTTTATTTTGAGTTAATTGGGATATATCGATATATATATGATAGGGCTGTGTATTGAGCAAAATATTTCGATACGATACGATATTTTATAAAGCGATATGCGATTTATTGGATTATTTATTAAGTCTTTCAAAAATGTCTTGTAAATGACATTTAATGCATAAATTTGATAAAAACTGGGTGAGTCTAATATAACATGTTAAAATATAGTTGTCTATGTATTTTGTAATAGTTATTTACGATGTGCTATCTCCTTAATGTTTATTTCATCACTGACCAGTTTTAATTCAAAACAGTTAAAAACAATCTTTGGTAACTGAAATTCCCAACTTTTATACAGAATTATAAGGAAAACTGCCTGTCCGATACGTATTGGAAATTATTTTTTCGATACGATACATTCCTGAATATCGATACGTATTGAATATTCGATATATTGACACAGCCCTAAAATATGAATGGAAGTACCTATATTGTTTATTGATAAACCGTCGTCGATATGTCTGAATGTCGAGTTGAAGGCTACAGCAAGTACTTTCTATTTTACATATAGAAGGTTTTTTAATTAGTTCTGCTTTATGGGAATATAAAAACAGTCGGTTAATAAAGGAACACAATTAATGCCCATCTGAATTCCAACAGTTTGATGGAAGACCTGGTCTCCGAAGACTACAGAAATGTTGTCAATGCATGATGAACTCCAGTATCCTGATACTATGAAGTTCTAAGTACTGGTGTGTAGAATCAGAGTGATTTTTAACAAAGTAATTTTGTTGATGACCAATCACATTATATGAACATTTCCGAGTTCCATTTTTATTTAGGATGCAGTTGTGTATGCTATCAAAAGCTTAGTTTTTAATTTATTTTGAGGTTGTATAAAGATTATTGGAATTTTTGAGAATCCACATTTGATTTACACCACTTCCAGAATATACTCTAGCACAGTACGCCTGAGGTTTCACCTTTACGGCAGTAAATATTTTTGTAAGGGGTAAAGATAGGGGCTTGGTAGTCTAGAGCACTTGCTAGATTTATCTTTTATATGAAGTTTCGTGGTCCAGTATAGGTAGGGTAGATCGACCTCACCTTCGTTGATTGGAATATTAAAAAAAAACTGAATGGTGTTTTTGAAGAAATTCATCTAAAGTAAGTCAACTGTGAGTATAAGTTGAATTTCCAAATGTAGAATTAAAAGCAAGTTCTAAAATACAGTTATAAAATACGAGCCTTACAAACAAAGACGATATTATTATAAGCCTTGTCGGCTGGAAACATAACATATTGTTCATGTAGTCTTTCTAACTCTTTTATCATCTTCTATTTATTGAAAACAGAAGGATAGATAGTTGACATATTACCTTTTAATTTTTTTTTGAAAGATCGGAGCTCCCTGAATTATGACCGACCTTTAATAATGATTGCTTTTAGGTCGTCATTTTCAACTTTAACATCACCAATAATGACGTGTTCAGCGGACTATAGTTGATAGAAGAAGAAGAGCAAATTAAGGAGGGATCGTTCGGCGTTGCGGGAAGATTTTGTGCTCCCCCAGTCTAATATAAACGGTTGATGATTCCTAGTCTGGGCTTTTCTACCAATTACTTGAAGACTGAAAACAAGGCCCGTATGAAGCAATTTCAATGGGGCACAAACAAACATTTTCAGTTGGGGGGGGGGGGCACAAACAAACATTTTCAGTTTCAGGGCCCTCCAAAATTTCAAAAATTCCTTGACAAGCCAAAAAATGTTATTATTGAGCCGCACAAGCATACAGTAGCCGTGTTTTCTATAGTATTCTGGAAAACATGACGTGACGTCACTCGCAGGCCTCCTGATATGGGACGGTCATGCGCATTTCCAAATGATGAAAGCGTCTTAAATGTGATTACTAGTATATAGTATTCCGATCAACTTTAAATTCTTTTGCAACCCTGGTCTTGGTTATGCCAGCGTCAGATATTTTAAGCTCCACAGCTTCAGTAAGCTGCACAGCTTCAGTAAAGCGAAGTATTACAATTGTTGAAGAATTAGTAACTTAATTTTTTTTAAGTTTTAAAACATTAAATAAAATTTCTGTTCTTGATAAAAACAATTTAGAGGTACTAGTAGTAAAACAGACTAATTCAAAATATTGCAATAATGCAAAAATTCACTGTACAGTGCTGAAATTCTTGTGCACTCTATAAAAGATCATTAGCTATTGTTTCTAAATTTCGATTCACCAATATGTTTCATTTGGTCAGCAAACGACCAAAGCGAAATAACTCCTTGATCTAATATAGCTCATCTGAGCCAAGGATATTAAGGGGTTTGTATTTTCACGCACAGGTTCTGTTTAAATTGTAAAACAAAGAAACATCTTTAAGAAAAAGCACAACAAGATGTGTTTGTGAAACACTGGTGCCCCCGTATGGCAACTTATAGCAAAGGTTAAACTTTCTCAAATGCAAATCAAATATGTTGGTACCCAAAGTAAGG